TTAAAAATAATTTATAAGTGACCTGTGTAAAATGTTTTTTTTCTCTCTTTTTTTTTTTAAAGGATTTATTTGGGGGAATTCCTGGATAATTGGCTTCTTTCAAAGAATTATTGTGGCAAATGGGTTAACTGGGTAAATACAACAAAGATAAGGTGACCATTTTATTTCCTCACTGTCTTTCCTTTCAAAATAAGCCTCTGGCAAAGTCAACCTCACAGCTGAAAGTGCCTCGAGAAATGTCCCTTCTCATCAGTGCACTGAAAACTGGCAATATGGTGCTAGCAGACTTGATAAGAAACTAGCATCAAGCCACACAAGCAAAGCATGAACACAGTGCTGCCTTCTTCTTCTTCCACCTTTCTAACACACAATGGATAGGCCTTCAGTCAACTCATGGCAAGTAGTTCTATCCTTGATTATCGCATGCAGCTCTCCCCATGTCCTCCTATCTTTTTAACATAAACTCTCTAGCTTCCATCTCCATGTTTTTTTTTTAATTCTTCCTTTATTTCTGTGTCTCTGTGGGTTCCAGTACAAAGACATTCTAGTTACATTGTTCTCAGATTTTCTCAACATACACATGGCCTATCCAACACCAGCATTTGTTTTTCTACATCTCTTAGTCCACTGACACTTGTGTGGTTGTCTCCCAACGCTCTACATTTTTTATTCTATCATACCATTTAATTCCCTCTATTCTGCAGGGGCACCAGTTAATGAATGTTTGTAGTTTATTAGTAACTGCCTTAGCTGTTCTTCATGTTTCCGCTCCATACAACAGTACTGATTTGACATTAGAATGAAAATTGTTGAGTTTAGTAACAGTTTTAATTTACTACGGCATGGTACTAGTGGATTGACAAGAACTAACAACAAGCCACTCAAGCAAAGCATGAACAAAATGCTGCCTAGGTAACATGAAATCAAACATAAATAAAGTTAACTGCGAAACCTTTACAGGACGTTGTCTGGCCCTGATCCTAATGACAGCATTAACCATCTAACAAGAAGGTACCAGGCCACCATCTTCAGACTTAGAACGCAGCATACTCCACTCAATGGACACTTAAACAGAATACAGCCACAACACTCCCCAGAGTGCCAGCTATGTAACTACCCCTACGAAACTGTTGAACACCATCTCTTTGAGTGCCCAGAACTCAGTGAGACAAGAAGAACGCTACTCCCTCCGAGACCAGACAAGTGGAACACCTTGTACGGAGGAAAAGAACAGCTAGTGAAAACATGCAAATTCCACTACATGGCATTGGGCCAAAGGGCGAAAGCTCATGCGCCGCTGGATCGATAACAACAACAACAACAACAGGACGTTGCAAAACCAACCCCAGCATTTTATCGCTGTTTGGTTTTACTAGGCAATAAAGTGCATAACATAAAAGTAACAATATTTCTTGTACTCTAACACAAAGAATTTTCTGGCTTGCAGAGGGTGAAGAGGACTCTCCAACATAGCCTCTACACTGTTACATGCGAGGGAAGTCTCTATACCACCCCACTCTAACAAATGAACGACCTTTCCAGAGTTCAACAAACATACTGAAAGTCAATGAATCAGACTTAACTGTTAAAACCCTGCAGACTGAAGCTTCACCAACGAACAAACAAATTCTGTTTGTATCACCTACTGACAGGTTCCTGGTATTTTTTTAACTTTATAACTTTAATTCAGAATGTATAATTCTATCTACAACAAAGTAACTGAAAGGTTAGCAACATGTTAAACTGGAGCAGAAAGTATAATTCTTTCAACGACACAGTCAATTAAAGTTTGCACCACATTACAATATAACAAACTATAATGGATAATGTATAATAATAATTCAATTTATATTATAGTAATTGAAAAGTTTACATATCATTACAATATAACAAACTATAACAGAAAGTATAATTTCATCTATAATATATTAATTGAAAAGTTTGTTTCATATTACGCTGTAACCTTCCATAACTGAAAAAGCAGAATTGTATCTTTTAAATAGTACGGCAGCATTGTTTTACTTTATAGGTTTAAAACAACAAAAAGGTAACGGATCCTTTTAACACAAGTGGCATATCGGTCATATGGTGCCAGACATATTACCACCCACCAATCGGCCTTCGACTGGTGATGTAGTCAACATACCTTTACTTCCCAGGACTTACCTGCTGCCCAATTTAGGCTGTGTCGACCTTTAAGCCAATGTCATTTTATAAAAATATGCATCATCGTTGATTCTAGAACAAAATCTTTGGGCCAGCAGGCAAAGTGTCTTTTTGATGTTACAACATCCTCGCGTGGGTACCGGGACCCCATTGTGGGGGGGGGGGAGAGGGGAGAAGAATTTGAACAGATTCACTGCTTCCTAACAAGCATGTGGTAACAGTGACTAATTTTGGTTTTTCCCTCAAAGTCAGAGTGCATGGGCCTTAGAAGCAACATGCGAATAAGCTAGATCTGTAAAACGGTTGTACACGCAAAACTCATGATCGGGAACAAGACTAAAATCCTGAACCGCATGAGGACCTGGAACTTTCCGATAGAGTTTACAGCCAATGAATGCGAAGAAGAAGAAGAAGAAGAAGATATTCCAACAAACTAACAGATAGTCAAATTATCTAAAATAAAGTAACTGAAAAGTTAGCATCATATTACATCATAATAATCTGTCAAAGATAAGGTAAAATTCTATCTATAAGGTATTATTGTATCTAAAATATAATGAACTTCACAATAACGCTTACATGTTTGGGAGATAAGCAAAGAGATCTGAGATTATGTAGCATACAGTATTGCAGCATAGAACACCAACTTTCAAGAGTATATACACATACAAATACAGCGCTCGTAGCTTCATAATTTTGCATAATTGTACACAGAATATATCTACACAAGATAATGAAAAATGACACATCTTTTTCAAGTTAAAAGACTTGATCATGTCTGAAATACATATGTATATTTCAAATAATGGAAACACCGTACAGGAATAATACAAGAAAAAGTCCCTGAAACAAAATGATAGCAAGGAGTGAAAAGAAACAAAACAATAAATGAATGAATGAAATAAAAAATTATTCAAGACAAATAAACCAAACAACACAGAATAAATAACTGAACACAAAAGTTTTCAAGACAAAGAAACAAAATAATACCAAAAATATGTCAAGACACAGATATGAAACAAAACATAAAATATTGTTGCTTACATATCACCAACACAGATAACAAGGCACTGAGGACAGCAACAAGAAGACAAATATTGCAAAGATAACAGACATGTAAGGACAATGTTTGTTGTTGTTTACTTGAACAAATGTATGAAAACTTGACAATCATGTAAGGAAAATGTTTTGTTTTTTGTTTTTTTGGGTGTCTGTTTACTTTAACAAATGTATGAAAACATAACAATCATGTAAGGAAAATGTTTTTTTTTTTTTGGGTGTCTGTTTACTTGAACAAATGTATGAAAACATAACAATCATGTAAGAAAAATGTTTTGTTTTTGTGTGTGTCTGTTTACTTTAACAAATGTATGAAAACATAACAATTATATAAGCAAAATGATTTTGTTTGTTTAAAATAACGAATGGATGCAAACATAACAATTGTGTAAGGATAATGTATTTGTTTGTTTCAATTAACATATTTATGCAAAAAATAACAATCACATAATAACGTTTTTTTTTAAATTAACAAATGTACATAAACAAATATTTTTTGTAATTAAGACTTGCTTGCTGCTTTTTGTGTGGAAATAGAGATGAAGTTATGTTTGCCTGGTATAAAACCTCAAGTTTCTATTACTTTCATACATTAATATGTCAGACTTAATTATATTCTGCGTGTATTTGCGTGTGTGCGTGCGCACGTGTGTGTATGAGAGAGTCAGTAAGTGAGTACGCACGGGTATTTATGTAATTCAAAAACAAGCTGTGCTGTTATTGTTTTTATCATATACAAATCAAATTTTCAAGGCGTGTATAACACAAACGAAACAAAAAAATGTCTATATGTCTAGATGCAATCAAAATGAACGAACAAACAAACTTTATTTTAAAAGGGTCACAAACTGAACACACAGCCTTTCTTGCATTCGGCCCTTGAAATGAAGACAATGAAAGGTAACTCACATTTGTTCACATTATGTCCTAATTTTGTTTGTTTGTTTCTGTAAAACAAATCAACTTGAACTTGCCAGTATTTGCTCAGGGAAACCAACTATATACCAAAGTGTCACCAACTGTGAACGGCTTCATTATTGGCCAGTTATGACTAGAGTCAAAAGCACAGGATTCTTTGAAAGTGAAACACAGGATCAATAATATCTGACAGTGAAGAAGCGGGATTATATCTGCCAATAACAGAATTATGGATTAATGAATACATCCAATAATCAACAGGATTACATCTAATATTGAAGTTCAGATTCCAATTTAATGAAAAGCAGGATTATACATGGTAATAAAGAAGATTATATGATAATGATGGAATAATTAAGGATATGAGTTTTTAAAACAATTTTTTGTTTCTTCTGCCTTTAACTCTTTCAGTCCCAATGAATGCATCATACGTTCATGGGTGCTTACCTAGAAGCCCAATAAATGCAAGATGCGTCAAACTGACATCTCTCTTTACTACCTCCTGGGCCTCTGATGCTAAACCCCCTGGGACTGAAACAGTTAATCCTCAACTAAAGAAGAGGTTCTCAACCAACTCCCATCGAACTGTTTTATCTATTGTTACCTCCCGCCACTTCTTCTATGTCTCTCTTCAAAAAATAAATTACTACTTGGCTTAAAACTTTTTTTTCAAAACGCAACCCTAACTGGCAAACACAAGTGCAAAGCATTGCTAAAACCATCTTACAGGTCCTATAGCCAAATCAAAACAGGCAAGAAAAGAAATCAAAGTTTGGCAGCAGTTGGCAAAATGTGGTACCACGGAAGACCTAATCTCAAATCAACAGTAAACCCTTTGTCTATTAAGTCTGGTAGAACTACACGCTGGAAAGCTTCATCTTCTCCAGGATAGGTATAACCATGTCGAACCGAGGTCGCTTGCCAGGTTCAGGGTTCATGCAGATCTTGATCAGACGTGAAATGTGGCTTGATATGCCAGGTGGGATTGAGATTCTGAGATTTTCTAGAGCCACCTGTAGAAAATATAAATTAAATAAATATATGCCACTATCAAATTTTAGTTAATGTAATAATTAATGAATAATTACTGCCATGTGTAGGATATTAATGACATCAACAAATAGTCAGCTGTAGGACAGGTCAAGAGAAAATTAAATGGTATGATAGTGGTGAAGTGTTTTCTTTCACCAGCATGAGAGGAAGTTGAGGCCATTGTTCTGTGAATTTATGGAAGCCTTCTTGATTAGTGGGGAGTGTCCATGTTCGCTCCTGCCTTCCCTTAAGGGCCAACCAGTCTGCAAGCGGCTTTCACGGATGGGTCCTCCTCAGGGGGCAACACCAATGGATTATGATGGCTAACCCAGAAAACAAATGCCTGATGTGACAGCCAAAAGGCGAAATATCACAGCTATGCTGCAAACAGGCACAACTCAGTCATCATTCGGGGCGAACAATGCAGAAGAAGAAATGGTAGAACAGAATCACTAATATAGAGCTTTGGAAAACAATTACACAAATTCCAGCAGATTATGCGTTGAGGAACACACACCAATGGATGGAACAAACATTGAGAAAACCTGATACCACCATAACAAGAATACCACTGCAGAGGAACGAACACACACACACGCACGCACACACACACACAGAGAGAGAGAGAGAGAGAGAGAGAGAGAGAGAAAGAGAGAGAGAGGAGAGAAGAGACACACACAGAGAAAGAGAGAGAGAGAGAGACAGACAGACACAGACAGAGAGAGACACAGAGAAAGAGAGAGAGAGACAGACAGACAGACAGACAGACAGACAGACAGACAGACAGACAGAGGAGAGAGATGGGGAGGGAGGAAATACCATTAAATACTAACCTTCATGCCAATCTCCATGGGTTCCAGTTCCGCAAAAGGCACCTCCCTGGTTTCCAGTTCCCATAGCAGGATGGCAAAACTCCACATATCAGCAGCCCTGACATTTATGTCTTCTGGTGATCTCTGTAAGGCTGAATGTTGAAAAAAATATATTTATTACCTTCACTGAGAAAAATAAAACAAACAATACATTCAGATAAAAAATTAATCTCATCACTGATAAATAATTATCCTGATGGCTTTCAGAGGTGCCAACACTAACAGTCTGTCACTAGATGTCCAGTTAATAAATAATGGAAGTAGCAGACATGACAAGTCAGCAGTTACACATGCATTAATGCGTAAGGCACACCATATGTTTCATTACAACTGGACACATGCTGTCTGTGGTACTGACTGAAGCATAAACAGCAGGAGATTGCCTAGTTATGTGCTTTCTTCACTTGGTTCTCTAAGATTATGTTACTGTCTCTATCCACTGTTTACATGTGTTTAGGTCAGTTCTGTTTTTTATTATTGTTTTATTTGTTTACAAAATATTTCAATACCGTAATGCAGTCATTTCAGAGAAAGTTCCTTTTGTGTTTGTTTTTGGTGGGGGGTGTGTGTGTATGGGTTGCTATACTGATGAAGCCTAGTTGCCGCAATGTCTTTTTTGTTTACTGTGAATGGTTTTATACAGCTGTCGTCTACTTCATATACTTTTTCCCCATCTGTTTCTATCCTTTCTTTTCTATACTGTTTCTACCTCCCATCCACCAGATCTCAACTTCTTACCTTCTGGAGCACACCAGGCGGGAGAGAACAGCTTGCCTTTCTCGTGGAAAGAGAACCTGTAATCGGCCATGTTGATTTTGGCAGTCAAGTCCTCGTCGATCTGCAATGGTAAATCAACCATTCTCACAAGGTAAACCATTCAACGCCAGCCAAAATGAACTTGTTTGTGGGTATACTTTCAGCATTTAAGACAAGGAACAATTCTATAATTTATTAACTGACGAACATCTGATATCAATCCTTGGCACTGGAGGTTAGACACAGAATTCTTACATATTCCATCTAATCAAGTTTCAACACACAAATGAAACCTGGAATAATTAACAAGCAAATTTCTCGAGGGATCAGAGATGTGGTTCTATAGTATACAGCACTTAATAAGCAAGCAAATTCCTCAAGGGATCAGAGATGTGGTTCTATGGTATACAGCACTTAATAAGCAAGCAAATTCCTCAAGGGATCAGAGATGTGGTTCTATAGTATACAGAACTTAATATCCACACCTTTCTTTAAGTAATAATATTTACACACAGATCAACTAGGCCAACATTTCTGATCATATGTTGACTGTAGCCAGAAGATTTTACAAGCCGTCTGAATTGCCAGGAGAAATTGCAGGAAAGAGATATGCTGCTAATTTCAAACATTACATAAACACCAAGGTTTAATAAATGGCTTTACTTATTTATTAGCTGGTATATGAGGTTTCTTCTTGTTCTTACAGTCAATGATACAGTCTCATGTCTCCTGTACTTTCAATCAATTTTGACACAAATGACCTTCCATACATCTTCTCTTTTGGTTTCTTTCTGCTTCCTTTTCCCTCCAACTTTCCCACCGTCACGATGTACTCCAGTTTTAAGAGTTAAATATTGCAGTATTAATTTAATGAACGAAACATTTTAAAAAATGAAGTAGAAAGTTGGTACTGTAATAAAGAGTGGTGAGTTATATTCAAAAATGCTTGTGTGAATCTAACGCTTCTACAGGAAAGCTGAACATATTACTGGAAAGGTAAGCATTCTAACAGAGACTTCAGTGCTCTATCAGAAAGTTGGAAGGTAAGAATTATAGAAGAGACTTAAGTATTTAATAGAAAATTGGAAGGTAAGAGTTAGAGACCTGAGAATCCAATAGAAAGTTGTAATGTAAGAATTATAGAGGAGACACAGGCATCCAACAGAAAATTGACAGGTACGAATTACAGAGGAGACATAAGTATCCAACAGAAAGTTGGATGTAAGGAATTCTAGAGGAGACAGAAGAAAAATGTTGGAATGTAATAATTTAACAGAGACCTCAGAATCTTAGTAGAAAGTTGGAAGGTAATAAATCTAATAAAGTCTTAAGTATAGTAAAAGAAAGTTGGAATGTAATAATTGTAATAGACATCTAAATATCCAAGTAGATAAGAAATCTAATAAAGACTTTATAGCAAAAGAACGTTGGAATGCAATAATTCTAATAGAGACCAAGGTATCCTAGTAGAAAACTGGAAGGTATAAATTCTAGTGGAGACAACTAAGTAGCAGAAGGCTGGAAGGTATGTCTAACAAATTCAAATATAGTAGATGAAAGATGGAAGATAAGAAGTCTAATGGAGGCTATATTCCTCATAGAAAATGGAAGGTTAACAATTTTGGTGGGAACCTAAGTATCCCAGAAGAAGTTAAGAATTCTCGTAAATGTGGTTACATAATTATAAATTAAGTATCGTAAATTAGGTGGAGACTTGAGTCTTCAAGTAAAAATACCGGAGCTGAGATTTCTAATAAACATTTTAAAAAAAATATTAAAGAAAACATACACTAAAGGATGGACAAATTAATAATAATAGTGGGGAAAATGTACAAAATCCCAGTGGAAAAGTTCTTCACGTTTACTGTCTGTAAACTCCAGCAGAAAGTTTTAGTTGTTTGTCCACTTCTGGACTTCAGTCTTGTTCCAGAACTTGAGTTTTGAGTGCAAATCCATTTTACAGATCTGACTCTTATTCGTATGCAGACTGCTAGTTACTTGCCTCTTAGGCAGATGCACTCCAACTTCAAAGGAAAGCCTTAATTAGTCAACTCTGACAGCATGCTTGTCAGGGAGGCAGTGGGTGTACCCCCATCCTATAGGGAAGCCACATAGGGAGAGTAGAAAAATTAAGTGTAACTGCACCCACAAGGGGAAAGTGAAAAAATAAAGTATAACCATAGAAAATTAAGGTTATAACAGAAGAATGTTGAAAGTATACACAGTGGACAGTTTAAAGTCAAAAATTCATGTAGAAAAAAAGATTCCTGATGAAAAATTAAGTATCATCGTAGAAAATCAATTATCCTAATGGAATGTTAAGTATTCCAATGAAAGGTTAAGAACAAGGGGACACCACTCTGAAGAATTCAGCAGAGTTATGTCCATAAGTTTCAGAAGTAAGTTAAAAACCCCACAGCACATCACACACCAAGCATTAATCATAAATAGGTCATGCTTCAATGCACAACGGACTACTCTAATATAAGTAGCGAATGCAACAAGGACAAATCATTAGTTTAGAAATACAGATTACTTTTGCCGCTGTTGGTGCATTTTGAAAATGGAAACTTTCTCGTCAATTCATTTCAGAAACTCATGTGCCGATACTCCCTGTCTTGGTTCTGGGACTCTATTATTTGGAGAAAGGGATCAATAGACCCACAGTCCTCCTAACAAGCATGTCGTACCCTAAAATGGGCTTTGCCGGGCTGAAAGACATGGATATCTCAGCCCAGCTGTAAACAACAACACACAATTGCAACTCCCCATTTAACCCTTTGGAGATGATGTGGCCGAAATATTGGCCCAACACAAAGTAGCCAAAAGGACAATTGGGACGATCAGTCAGCCCTATATAAAAGAAGTCTTGATATTGGCTTTCAGGTTTTTGTACCAGCCAATCAGACTGCTTCTCACATTTCTTGCACATGTGGGCTGTTCATTGCCAGCTTCTAGAAAGTTTGATGGGTTCGGTGATTTTACATCAATTTTTTTCTGGGGTTACATGTGTCCAAAAATGGCGAAAAGGACTGTTGCGTCATAGCAATGGAAACATAGCTGGAGGCAGGAAAATTAGTAGAACCATGTGCCAGATGTGTCTGAAGGGCCTCCAAGGACCTTACTTCCCAAAATACAGGTGTTAGGACTTATTCAAGCTTCTTGCATTAAAAAATTCACCAAAATGTTTTCAGGCAAGTTATGTTTGTTTGTAAGTTTTATAAAAATTACTCGCATAAATTATGCAAATCAGAATAGTTACTTTGAATAATTATTGAGATTTCAGTTTGATTTATAAATATTCTGTTAGTTCATTCAATTTCGTTTACAAATATACAGTTTTATTTTTGTTAATTAACGCTTTATTTTTAAAATTTTTTTTTAGAATAAACTATGAGAATTCCCTCCTGAAGGCTGTGTCTTCCTGGCACCAAAACTCCAAAAAGGCAACGTCTCCAAAGGGTCAAGGGCAAGTAGAGACGATGTGCCGTTTTGTGCGAGTATTAAAGTGGAGCAGCGGTAGCAGGGCTAGACACATGCCTGCTGGTTGGAAGGTATCTGGTTTGAGTATGCCTTGAGGCAGATTTTTTTATAACTGATTTACATCTGGCCGGTTGTACCAGTTTAAGAAGGGTACAGGGAAATGCTAATGGAAGTCTTCTTCTACATGTTCACAGGATGTAAACTGCGGCAGAAAGTTCTGGTTATTTGTCCTCTCAAGTCTTGTTTTAGAACTTTAGCTCTGTATGTACATAAATTTTATAGATTTAGTTAATCTTTACACAGACAGCTAGTTTCTTGCCTCTTGGGCAGATGTACCCCAACTTAAAAAAATAGTAGACTTTTATGACATGCTTGCTACAGAGGCCGTGGGTCTATTCTCTCTTCCCCTAAAATAAGGCCCAGAACCCACAGAGGAATGCTGTGGGAAGTAAAGGCAGCTGGTGTGATACTGATTACATCAACTGCTGAGTGTTGCCTATGAAAACATGGGTCTAGCACCATTTACCCAAAGCATCAACAGTGTGACAAATCCTTAGTAAACATAAATATAGATTTATAAAGAAAGGTGTTTTGTACTCTTCTTTAGTCCTCCTCCTCTAACACTATTTATAAAGTTATTCACTTTCTTCACTCTCCACAACTGAGATTACTCACTTAAATACTAAAAAACACAAAAATTGGAGTTACACCAACCCATGTAACATTATCAACAAAACAATTTATAATCTAGATATTTTTCTCGTACATGTATTGTTTTTAAACAGATGTGATACACACACAATAAAAAGCTACACAAATACGGTTATACTACAAAGTATAAAAACTACATAGTTATGTTAAAGAGGAAACAGAAAGGGAAAGATTCTATAAGTTGTAGATAGGTATTAAGTAACTGCAACACTCTTTAACAGGTCTGATGACACACCTGCCTTGTCAGTCTTCAAATGTGCAAGGGATACAAGAGAACATAATTCGAACTAAAAAGGGGGAACACAATTCCACATCCTTGTGTTAAAAAAAAAAAAAAAACGCACTCAACCATAATTTGAAAAAAAAAAAAAAGTACTATGTAAAATGTCACATATCACAATCGAACAGTTCTGAAGGTATGTTTCTGATGTATGAAGGCACACTAAAGTAAATATCTAATGACACGTAAATGCCAACTCATCATCATCCTTTTGTGGTTATACGTCAAATAGGGCGTGCAGTCTATTCTTCCATTCTGCTATATCCTGGGCAATTGTTTCAATACCATAGATGGAATCCAGCTGAGCAGCTTTGGCCTTTCTAATGTAACATTCATTCTAGGGTTTCTTCTGGATGTCCTCACCTTTTCAATCTATTTGTGTCCTCATTTAAATGCCTGTCTGGTTTATTTTCTGCCTCAACATGTGTCCAATATAGCACCAACTTCTTTGTTTGGTTTATTTTCTGCTTCAGTATGTGACCAATTTAGCACCATCTTCTTTGTTTGGTTTATTTTCTGCTTCAGTATGTGTCCAATATAGCACCATCTTCTTTGTTTGGTTTATTTTCTGTCTCAATATGTGTCCAATATAGCACCAACTTCTTTGTTTGGTTTATTTTCTGTCTCAATATGTGTCCAATATAGCACCAACTTCTTTGTTTGGTTTATTTTCTGTCTCAACATGTGTCCAATATAGCACCAACTTCTTTGTTTGGTTTATTTTCTGCTTCAGTATGTGACCAATTTAGCACCATCTTCTTTGTTTGGTTTATTTTCTGCTTCAGTATGTGTCCAATATAGCACCATCTTCTTTGTTTGGTTTATTTTCTGTCTCAATATGTGTCCAATATAGCACCAACTTCTTTGTTTGGTTTATTTTCTGTCTCAATATGTGTCCAATATAGCACCAACTTCTTTGTTTGGTTTATTTTCTGTCTCAATATGTGTCCAATATAGCAGCAACTTCTTTGTTTGGTTTATTTTCTGTCTCAATATGTGTCCATATAGCAACTTCTTTGGTTTATTTTCTGCCTCAGTATGTGTCAAATATAGCACCCTCTTCTTTGTGGCAATATTTTCCTCAGGATACATTTAATATTTCAAATACTGTGATCAGAGGTGTAGCAGGGGCTTAGGGCTGCACCCTTGAAAGGGGTGGGGGGGGGGGGGGGGACACAATGGCAAGAACATGTGCCTTTAACATGACACAAATGTGTGCATGTTTCTGCGTGTGTAAAAGAGGGTGACAGGAAATTTTCCGCACTAGGTACCACCTGACCTTGCTACGCCACTGGCTATGATGCCACGATAATGAAGACATGACTTGGTTCTCTGTGGCTGTGTCAAAACCCTCCCCCTTCCATTCCCCAGAACTCCCGAGGGGATTTAAATGCTGAATTTTGTATATTTGTTATTGAGTTATTGCTCAGCATCTCGTGAAAACTTTTATAAATTCCCGTAAACAATTTGTTTAATCCAATTTCATCATACATCCCATCATTTTAGTGATACAAAAATTATGTGTAGTAATTATTCTCTTTGTTAATTTTTCAGGACCATACAGTGCTACAGATCAAAACATTTTAGTAATTACTATTTCCCACAGTTCCAAACCACTAGATGTTAGAAATGTTAGAATCAAAACTGAAAAAAGGCAAAATTACAAATCTATCACTACATACTGTTAACAATAATTTCTACGTACAACCAATTACTACATAACATACCCTCAAGAATGTCTCATTGTGATCTACTACGTACATAGTTATGTTTTGTAGTAGTACTAATATTGCAATCAATGTATTAGTGTATGTTAATTTAATACTACACGTTGGAACTAATAATTGGTGACACTAGATAAATATCGATATGCCCCCAAAAACAAAGAAGTGACAAGCCAGGCAACTGCAGACGCAAAGTTACCCCATTTAGGGTGATGTCCCCTGAGGAATACTTTGGATCATCCACATTAATCTTAGCCAGGTCCTCGTCAATCTACAAAAGTATACTCATATTTGTACTGACATCAGTGGCAAAAATAGTCAAGTGAGCACAACAATGATGATAATGGGGTGGTCATGAAGCCAATCTCAGACTTCTGTTGGTGAGATCTGCACACAGTAACAGGAGACAGCAACAGCAGACAATGGGTGTTGTGTGTTTTAGTTGTAATTAGTAACGCAAGAGACCCCTTACACGCCTACGGCACATCAGGCCTGTGATAATCAACTGATCTTTTTACAGATCAGTCGGCACACAATGGGTGATGTGGTCAACTGCCTTTACTTCCCAGGACTTTACCTGGTACCTATTTCAGGCTGGGTCAACTTTGACAGTCAAGGTCATTTACAAAAAAAAAAAAATCTCCCTGTATTTCAGCTGAAAGGATTCATGTATGGTACTTCATTACATGTTGATGAAAACTCTGTACTAATGCATCTGACAAGATACCGCGATATACCTGGCAATAAATTAAGCAATATATTGTTTTTGTCCTCACAGTTTAAAATAATGATGTTAACACTTGTACAGTGAGCCGCTTGTACTGCGCTTGTACATAAGATTCTTGTTCTTTCTCATCCCATTTTTCTTCTGCTTCCTTTAATTGTTCATCTTCCTCTTCTTCTTCTGCATCTGCCCTTAAAAGTGCAGCTTACATGCTGTGCTGAGGTTTACCTCAGCTAGGCTGCGATATCTGTATCTATCAACCCAACATATCTGATTTAAAAAAAAAAACCTTTATTAGTCGCCTTTTATGACATGTTTGTTATGTGGCAATAGGTATATTTTTTTCCATCCAAAATGGGCCCTAGAACCCACACAAGATGCAAGGTAACTAAATCAACAAGTATTGATTGACTTCCACAGAAGTAAAGGATACAGATTAGAGTACACATTAGACAGTATGAACAGTAAAATATAAAGGCACATGAAACTATGGTAGCACAACAGCTAGCATAGCTGTCTGCATGTTCGGCAGTCTTTGAATCCCCACCAGGAGGGATTTGAAAAATTTATCTAGGCTTTTATGCTGACTCAGCCTTTGCTTGGTACTTGGAAATATTCTAGGATGCATAGGCGGCCACTATGATTCTGCCATCATCCACTGATGGCCTAGATTAGATTAATATGGGGTCTTCTTCTACTTCTAATCCATGCTGGTGGTTAAAATAGTCATGTCTATCCACAACCTTCTGTCTGGTGTACTTTTAATCGATTCTGACACAGATGATCTTTCTTACCATGATATTAAACTGCCCATTATCTTCTCCCTTAGTCACCCTCTGCCTCTTTTCCCCGCAAGTGCCTCCATATGATCCCTGAAGGTCAGGCTTCTATTGAAAGTGATACCCAGGTACCTCCGTTTGTTTTCTCTTTTGATGTCTCTATCATTAAGTGTGAGGCTTGGGACAGCAGCTCTTACAATCCTATTGTCCACAGAGCACCAGAAAACAGATGCCTTTTCAGGGTAGATGACAGCACCAATCTCTGCTCACCAGTCAGTCATTTTTTTCCACAGCTGCCTGTAACTCTTTTTGTCTATCGCTCCCCTGCCTATATCCGCAAGAACATCATCTATATTATCTATATGCTACCATCAACGAACAGGTGATGAGAAAGTAGGTTGGAGGCCCTGAAGATGCAGAAGAATTCGTCGCATTTTATAAAAAAAAAAAACAAATGCATATATTTTGGAAAGATTATAAATAAAGATAAATTTTTTTAAAGACACCAAATATAATGGTCACATTAAAGCTAACAAGCTCTTTAAAAAACCAGCCTGGAAGGAAATATTAAAGACTGCCAAGCAAAGGATAGACATCTATACAATAGGTGGATAACATCTAGATGTCACTGCAGATAACTGGTGCTCATCCGAGATACGAATCCAGGACCTCTTGCCCACTGAATTGCTACTTTTCCATAAGGCAGAATCACTGCATGGACAAACAGCTGTATATCAGGGTGTACAATAAATGTGAGAAACAGAGCTGGAGATCCACTTCAGCTTAACCTCCATTACATTACGGAGATGGCATTTGCTTGGTTGCTCAAAGCCTCTTGACTGCCAAGAAAATATGCACAGGAGAGAGTCAAGTGTATCGGACATAAAACACAGAGGGCCGCAGAAAGTGCCACTTACCATAACATGCTTGCTGGTGAGGATGAAGCTGGGGATCATTGGTTCCATCGAGTGCAGGAACTCCATGCCTCGGGCGATGTCAATGGCAAACCTGAGGGCCTGATTCTGGTCCACAACTATACCTGTGAAATGGGGGTTGGAGAAACACGAACAGGTATAATAGGTTGTAAATGTTCTTCAAGAACAGATGTATTTGCCTGCCAGAAATATTCTAAAAAACATATATATTATCGTGTTGCAAATATTCTACAACATATATATTATTGTGTCGCAAATGTACTACAGAAACAGATGTACTTTTTATTTTTGTGTGTGCAAATTTTCTGCAAGAACAGATGCAGTGACTTGTTGCAAATGTTCTACAAGAACAAATGTTCTGGATAATCACAAATATCTACAAGAGCACTTTATTCTTGTACACTCTTACTGTCACAGTCTATGCCAGGTGGCACTGTCAGCCATGTCTGTGCAGACTTACATTTGTGTACAATTTGGGGGGGAAAATAACAGACCACTAGCCCTTAATAAGAATGTTGTATACGCCAAAGTAAGTACGGGTTTGCTGAAATTAGATGTTCTGTGCCAAAAGCTGCAGAAATTGTAGTCTAGATTAAAACCACAAACACACACAAAATAACATGCCAACCACCTTTTAAAGACGAGCGCAGAAGAAGAAGTAGAAAAAGACAAAGGAAAGGAAGAAATAGTTGGAGTACAAAGAAAATAGAGGAGGAGAAAAACAAGATAAGAAGGAGGAGTAATTAATGAAAACTATATTTTCAAAGTATTAAAAACTGGGCATGCAGGCTTGTCTCACAATCTGCCATTCTGGCCCCACCCCTTACATACAATATTCCATTAATTCAACATTTACAATACAGAAGTACAGTTTGACTTTATGTAGAGCCTGCTCACTGTGACAAACCTGATTCTCCATGCAGTGTGTTGTACAGCGAGCCAAACGGCATAAACTGGCTGATGACCACCAGATCTGGTGGATCTTTCGGAGCACAACAGCCCAGCACTGCAAGCACATTTGGGTGATTGAAGATTCTGTTGGAAAAGTTGGGACAAATAAATATTAATATGACAGCTGGTAGAGCAAGCGTGTTCAGATGATAATTAATATGTGGTAACTAACAGTGATGGCACAATCTTTATCAACTACATGCCCGGAGTCAAGAAAATGACATCCTATTGAACTGGGTCTCTTGACATAAGATCTCCATTTGCGTGTGTTAAGATATGTTCTACAACTCTGTTTCCAAGCTGTCTCTCTATTCGACCATTAAAATATAGAGCAAGTATATTTGGGTGATAAAAGATTCTATAAGGAAAGTTAGGCAAATGAAAACAGAAAAAAAAAATAATTCTGGAGTACATGTACCTTTTGCTGTTTGAAGATTGTAAAGGAAAAAATAGGCATTAAACATAACACCAGCCAGGAAAAATATTTAATATCTGAATGATTTAAGAATCGAAAGGAAAAGTAGGGAAAAGGAAATGAAAATAAATCCAGCAGTGTTAGTATATTTTGCAGATTAAAGATGGTAAATCAAAAAGCAAAAACAATATAGTAAGAGCTAGCAATGTAAGACAATTTGCATGATATAAGATTATTTTTTTAACCCTGTTGCTCCAAGAAAGACGGTTTTCTGACTTAACTGGTTTTTGATATATTTTTGGGCAGTAACCAATAGGTTTATATAACAGCTTTGGTACTGAAAGCAAAAGCGTACTGTATAGGCGTGGCTGGTATGATTGTATTTAGAATAATAGTAAACCCCAACACAATGTGCCCAACTGCCCTTTTAAGGGCGAATGCAGAAGGAATCTAATAAGGTGTGGGAAAAATAGGTGTTACCTGAGTTTTGGAAATTCTTCGTTAAAATCTCGGATGTTTCTGTCTGTCACTGTCCGCATGTTGAGGATTTTAGCAACTATGTCATTGCCTTGCCAGGTACCTCGCCAAGTCTGCAAACCAAAGAAAAAGAAACTAAGAAATGGATCTATGTAAAAAAAAAAAATTTGTTTAAAGTGCACAGAATTTCTTACTCCTTGCTTGGGCTAAAAAAAAATTATGATTCGATAACATCTATGGACCTAGCATCATTTGCCTGATGCTTACTGACAGCGAACATAATTTGAAGATGGGTCTAACAAAAGTGAACATGCAGATGACATCAGAGATGCTAATGTATGTTTTGTTCAGCAGAATCTACACAAATAGAAATGAAGAGAGGAAAAAAAAAAAGCATAGGAAAGGAGACAAAGCAAAAAGTAACTGAAACAAAAAGGAATAAAACAGATGGAAGGATTAATAGAAAAACCATGAGGACCAAAAAAAAAAAAAAGGTGAAACGTCTTAATGTGCAATAACTTAATTCTTAACTTAATTCCATATCCGAAAGAGAAAGAAACAAGGAATGGAATTGGTAAGTCACTTCCTATTTCAGTTTCAGGTTTTATTTTTTTATTTAGGGAACAAAAATAGATACACTATCTTTAACAAACATGTAAAAATAATAATGATAAAAAAACAAAAAAACACAAGTATCATTACTGATCGTATGTACCACTTTTAAGGGCGGTGTAGGATGGGGGATCGAGGGTCATGAGTCTGAGGATGAGAAAGCAAAAGAAGAAGTTTATCTCATACTTCAGACTGCTAACTATAACTCAGCCGATGACCTACCTCGCCAGAGTGAGTTTTGGCGATGTGACCAACCAGCTGAAGCTCCTTGATGTCGATGCCAGTGTGACGTGACAACACAGCATCCCCTGCAAGAAAGAAATTACATACATGTCAGTGATGGATATTTTCAACATTCACAATACTTCTCCCCATGATCGTTCCGGGAATCCATTCATTTTTTGGGAGGTGGAAGGAGGGGGGGGGGGGGGGGGGGGGGGGGATAGACACATTGCCCCCTTTAAAAATCAATGTTGTAAAATGTTGTAAAAGGTGACTAATATCAGAGGTGTTTTTTTCAAAGTCGGAATGCATTTGCTGGAGAGGCAAGGAGCCCACAGTCTGCATATAAAAATTACAGAGATGTCAAATGGATGTGCACACAAAGTCAAGTTCTGGAACAAGACTAAAGTCCACAACTGGACGAACAACTAGAACTTTCCATTGGAGTTTACAGCCCATTAACACGAAGAAGAAGAAAAAGGTACTTCTTCTGCCTTTCATTTCCCACTAAAGCATAGGTTAATTAGTCAGCTTATCCTTAACTGCACATCAAACCATGTAGTCCGTAATTCCTTGGATCCCCTCCTCAGCCAATCCCTCCGCAGGTAGTGGCTGACGACACCACTTCTGTGTTGGTTTATTATTCTCAGTTGGCTTCCAGTATAGTGCTCTTGGATGGCTTTACCCTTTTTTTACTCGCTGTTCTTGCAGCCTGATTATAGTTGCAGATTCAGTCATAACTTGGCTCTCGAACATCTTACTTCACACAGTGCAATCAGCACATCAACCTTGTCCATTGCTTGTCCGCCCCCAAAGTCTTACCTGCAAGGCTATCAGCACGATCACATTATTATACACATACATGCCTTGCCATGACAATGAAACAAATCTTTGTCAGCCGTGACTGTCTCAGAGGCTCTAACCACTGTCTTCAGGCACAGCACATTTCTATCTTCCTAAGCAATGTGGCATAAGACCTCAAACAACTTCGTCTTCTTCGCATTCACCGGCTGCAAACTCCAGTGGAAAGTTCTCATTAGTCTTGCTCCAGAAGCTGTTTTACACACACATCCCTTTTACACTTTTGGCATAATTGTGTGCAGAATGATGGTTCCTTGCCTCTCAGGTAGATGAACTCTGACTTCGGAGGCACCTCTAATTAGTCGCCCTTTACAATAGGCTTGTTAGGGAGACAGTGTGTCTAACCCCCCTTTCCAGAGCTGAACCAAAACAAACCAAAACTCTTTGCCTGATTTATTCACTGTGAATGCAGCCAAAATTGTAACAAGATGAGATAACCAGTCTTTCATCCTCTTATATGTCATGAATCACAATATGCAAAGGCCTAATTCTTATACACACAAAAAAAAAAAAAAAAAAAAAAAAAAAAAAAAAAAAAAAAAAAAAACGCACTCATGCACATATATATGGAGTTTTTCAACTGAAATGCTGCAGAAAAATACCATGGACCAAGAAGAAGAAGAACACCGACATCATACATGATTTCAGCATTGAGAATAATTGGCTCATCAACAGCTTCCTGCCCTAAAAGCTGAAGTATTTTGGCGATGCTTAACATCGTGGTGGCCTGGTCAGAATAGTGATGGACGGTATTTTCCGGAAAATAAGGCAGAGACAGATCTCCGCAAAGGTGAATACAAGACAGTAAAGATGCATTGGCTGTGAAAGCACATAGGGCTGGAGAATTAGCTAGAGAGACTTTCAGGTGTGCCGTGACAAAAGCGATGTTCTGTTAAGGACTGCTGACTGAGGATGCATTCTTCATACTTCAGCGGAATATGTGTCATGGGCTATCAAATCTTGCTAGATATTAGTAGAACACTAAAGGTAAAAATATTATGACAAAAACCTCACTGATTATGACAAAAAGATAATTTATTATGATATTAAACATCCCTGATTATAATATAATCATCACAATTTACGACAAAGACATCCCACATTGTCATAAACTCAACAGATTGTGAAAGAAACATCAAGGAATATGACAAACAACACAGATTATAACATGAACATCAAAGGTTACAACACAAACAATACAAATTATGATACCAAAAAATCCAAGATTTCGATAATCTCACAAATTACAACACAAACACAGAGTATCACAAAAACAACTTAGGTTATCATGTAAAATGGCTACTCACGACTTCTTGTCTTGTAGCCCAACCAGCTCCTGTCCTTAAAAGGAATTTTACTCAAATCCTGGCCCAGATTGATTGCTCTCTCTATGAGAAAGAAAAACAATCATAAACTAGAGCAGTGTTGCTCAACCTTTTTACATCCGCAACCCATCAAAACAGGAGAAATTATGTAATGGCCCAGCTGACAGCTAACCGAATACATAAATAACGATGGTAAACAGCAGTGCATTTGTTAAATCCAGTCATATAAGAACAAGTTTCAGCTGACGTTGCATCTTATAATTCTCATCCGTGATATGGTAATCCTACACAGTGCAATCCCGGAAGAGAAGAAACACTTATGGTCCTACCCATAACATGATTACGAAGAATTCTTGTGGCCAAACAAAACTTTTTTGCAGCCCATAATTGAGCAGTGGCTCACCGGCTGAAGAACAGTGATCTAAAGCAGTTGTTTCCAATATGACCTTCAGGCCACTCTTATTTCTGAAGGCCTTCCCTGAGCTCCCACTTTTTAATAGTCATATTATTAAAATCATACATATATATAATTTTTCTTAAATTACAGAATCTATATTAGTGTCCTCGCACCCGAAGGTAGAGGGTTGTGTTTTATCTATCTAAATACTATCTGAGGCGCCAGAAATTTGTTTCACGGACCTTTGGGGAGACCGTAAACCACTAATTGTAAACTATTTCATCACTGAAAACACTCCCTTCGTTCATTCCATCCATAGAAAAAAACAAAACATTCCACTTTAGACAACCTTGTGTTATTAAGAACGTGTTAATTTATTTTATTGCCCTTCGTTACATCCTTATATTTTATTTTTCATTATATTTTTGTTCAGACAAGATTAAACCCCCATTTAAGGTCAAATTTTTAAATGTGTCTCAATAAAGGTTTAAATCTGAAATGATGACTGTAGTCAAGAGGATCGACTTCTCTACACTGCACTTATAGTTTGGTCTTCCTCTCTCTCTTCCCAGAACAGCTACCCACCAGAGTCACATAAAGCACAAACGCCACAGCTCTAGTGACAATCCCCTGGGATCTCTGTAAAAAGTTTACTTGTGAACTAAATGATGCATCAGTGAAATGAACACGACCTTCAGTGTGTGAGATAAACAGCTTAACCTAACTACTTCGCTATGGAGAGGTGGTAACACAAGGAGAAGAAAATCAGAAATAGAGATAAGCGATATTAGAAAGATATGCACAAGATAGTGTAGGATAGAATGATTGTCGAGTCTCATCTCCTTCAAACAGCTGATAATCATAAAGCAGACTGGCTGCACAATTGGTAATCAGAAAGCAGGTAGGTTGTACAATATGTAATATACAATTGCAATATAATATAAACTGAAAGACCACTGCTCTGGCAATTTTTTTTTAACTTAAAAAATGAAAACTGACCAATAAAAGTGAATTTACAGTGTGTATAAAATTTTAGAAAACACGTCTCAACGCTTGGAGTTAAGCTGGCTGAGGGGTTAGGTTTCAATGAGGGAATAAAAGGATGGGAAAGAAGAAAAAAAACTTCACATTGAAAAAGAAACAGCAATTTTCACAACAAACCTTTCAACATCTTAGCCATAAATGGCTTGCATTTATCAAGAGGCACTTCATCGAATTTGTTAGCAAGGCTGACCAGGGCGCCATTGTTTACAAGATCCTAGAACAGAGATCAAAGATAACGGTTAAAAGCATTGTAAATATTAATAATGAATGCAACAGAACTTAACGCAGAAATAGTAACATTACTAGCTAGAGATGGGATGTAGCACTAAAAAAAAAAAAATTCTCGCAGTCTTGAATCTGGTGCTCCATCAATTGAACTTTAATAAGCCTGGGGATTTACTAACATAACTTTTCCTCTTCTGTCAATGGATAATGTCTTAGCAATACGGGGCGGACAATTCAGCAGCATTGGGCAGACAACTCGGATACATTCAGCAGACAACTCAACCACACTGGGCAGGCACTTAGCCAAATTGGGCAAACAACTCAACCACACTGGGCAGACAACTCAGCCACAGTGGGCAGACAACTCAGCCACATTTGGCATAATAAATTAGGTTGTTAAGTATAGACAACTGGGAAAAAACACAATAACAACAAATACATAACTTTACTTACTTCTGCAATCTGATCATAGCCCCAGAAGCAGGCATAGTGTAAGGGGGTGTTACCATGTTCATTGATAGCGTTCACATTGGCTTTGTTCTGAAGCAACTGAAAATAAAAACACAACAAGGTGGGAAAAAAAAAAAAAACTAGTTCTCTTAGTTAGTCAATTTCTTTCAAGACACCTTCATTATTCTTTTTAGTTATCCAGGGTGTTCTTATCATTCATCTATAAATCACATCTCCGCTGCTTCCACACATTTTTGCACTAACTAGCCATTTGCTCATAATTCACTTTTGTATTGCAGAACTGGATTTATATAACTCTACAGAATTCTCTTTCTCCTCTTAACTGACAGAGAGAATCACACAGAATATTCTTCACTTTGTAAAATTATACTTTTTTTTGAGCTACATTTAACTTCCAGGGGTACCAGGGGAGGTAAAGGGGGCAAGCATGATGTCCATCGAGTACGAACTGGTCTATACAAATCTGAGTCTGGCATTATGCCTAATACTCATGAAACAATGTTATCCACTTCACATGTGAAATTTACTATTGAGTTTCCTGTTATAAACTTGATGCTAGTGTGTAACTGCGCAAGACTGCAGGGTTTACCAGGGAACAACTTGGGGTAACTGCTGCAGGTGCCCTAACTATAACTTGTGAAGCTGAATGAGTATCTGTGATTTTTCCTGTTGGTTTGCCAGGATGAAGCCCTCGAAGTCATCAATGGTAAGTGGTTGCTGAAACAAAAAATACTTCTGACTCGTTCACCCAGCTCCCAACTGAGCCGCGGTTATATATGAGTCTGGTTTCTAGATTTGTGTGTGTGTGGTGTATGAACACGCCTGTTTGTTTCTTCTTTTGCATTTTCTTCTTCTGCTCTTTATCCCCCAAAGAGGCAAAGGCCCACAACCAATTCATGCCAACTCGTTTTATCTTTTGTTATCACACACAGTCCACCATATGTCCTTCCCATATTGTTAACTTTCATACAGCTTAAGTCACCAGGGTGATCAAACCTTCAATAACAGCAGAGAGGGGAAAATCAGGCAGAAAAAAAAACATTCTGCTTCAATATCAAACTTGGATACTACAAGAGAAGTCAATTACTCAGTCAGATGGTTTATGCACATCATTCCTCTAGGTATCTATGAAGACCTTCTTCTTCTTCATTCATCCTTATAAGGGGGTTGGCATACTGTGTTGTGGTTTATAGCTAAGCTGTGCCTTGTGACCCAACACATCCCTCTTCTTCTCTTTCTTCTTTTGCTTCTTCTTGTTAACCGGTCGTAAACTCCAATGAAAAGTTCTGGTTCTTCATCATCTTGGTCTTGTTCCAGAACTTGAGTTTAGCATGCCTATATGTTTTACTGGCTTACCTGCATGCAGACTGTTGGTTCCTCACTTCTCAGGCTGATACATCTGACCCTGAAGGAAACACATAATTAGTCGCCTTTTACAACAATATCTGTTGAGGAGGAAGAGGTAGGCGATCTATTCTTTCTGTCCCCTAAATATAGTCTCTGAACATACATGGAGCAGCAAAACCCTATTTATTCAATTTTTACATTTATTGGGGGCAGTGGATGGATTGCTTTTTCCCTCTAAGGATGTATGTGGCTTGGAACCCACATACACATTAAAAAAAGAAGACCTCACAGCATCTGCTATAGAAATACCTGTTTCTATCCAAGGACAACATATAAGACTCACCATAAGAACAACCTCCCGGTGGCCATGTGCTGCTGCCAGGTGGAGGGGCGTATCATCCCCCATGTTGGTGGCATTGATGCGGGCCCCCCGTTTGATTAGCATGTCAACAATGTTGTCTCTGCCCTCCCGGGCGGCCCAGTGAAGTAAGCTAAACCTATGATCATCCCTATGGAAAATGGTTAAAACAGTTTCTTAGAATTTTCATCAATTTACAGTCTTTTCATTCAGAAGTCCCTTTTGCTTTTGCACCCGGTGCTGGGATGTGGAGGTTGTGAGCCACAAGAGATGGTGGTCCACCATGGTCCAGCCATGTCTACACATCCCCATGGTCATCATAGAAGAAACAGGTTCCTGACCAAGAGCTTGGGCAATGTAGATAGAATCAATGTTTCCTTGGAAGCCAGAGTGCATCTAGCTGACAAGCAATGAACCAGCAGCCTGCATACACTCAAACCAGATCAGGAAAATGGATGTGCATGCAAAACTCAAGTTCTGGAACAAGACTAAAGTATACAAGTGGACGAACACCAGATCTTTTGATCGGAATTTACAGCCAATGAAAACGAGGAAGAAGTAGCAGGCCCTGGGCAACCTTATAATCTTCTTGCTGATACAACAAGAAGACACACATGTATAAACTGACAAGTATTCATTCATCATCATCATGTGCCCTGCCAATTGGCGTAGGCGCTCATGCGTCTCCACAGATCACGATCTCTGGTTGACTGGAACAGCTCTCTTAGTGATATCCCTCCTAGCCATCGTTTTAGCCCATCCAGCATCATCTCTCTTGGTCTGCTTTTACCCCTTTTTCCACTGATCTTTCCAGTTGTCACAATGTTCTCAAAGTATACATTATTGCAACAAAATACGCAAACATTATACCTTACATAGGCACAACAAGCATAATTAGGCACATAGATATACAGTCACAAGATATTTAAGTAATACAAAGACAACAAACATATATGGGCAGATAAAAATCCAGTCTTGTAAGTATACATTGACAGATAAGTAAACAGAGATATAATTATGCACATACCCATAAGTATAGATAAGACATTATTTTACATAGACTCAAGAAGTATAAAAAGACATTTTCTTCTGTTAAGCATTCACCTGCTGTAAATTCTGGTGGAAAGGTCTGGGTGTTCATCCACTTTTTGGACTTTGATCTTGTTTCAGAACTCAAGCTTTGTGTGCACATTCATTTTACAGATGTCATTTATTTGAATGCAGACTGCTGGTTCCCTGCCTATTAAGAAGATGCACTCTAACTTTGAAGAAAATACCCCTAATTGGTTGCCTTTTACAATATCCTTGGGGGGGGGGGGGGGGGGGAGGGGGGTCTATCCCTTCTCTCCTAAAATAGGGTCATGGAACCCACACAGGATACCAGCCCATCACTCTAATGCATGACACACTATTCTTATAATTTCACAGACTCAGACATACCAGTGCAACAACCCAGCGTAACACATCCACATCCTTATTATCCCATACAGCCAAATATATTAGCCTACCAATCTAATGCCCGATACCCTATTCTCGTTCATTCTATACAACCATACACATGAGCCCTAAACCTAATGTAAGGTATCCATACTCTCATTTTATAATGATCATCACACTTTGAGCCATTAAATGTCACACAGGGCTCAAGTCTATGCCTCCATTCCATTCTTTCAGTGCTAATTTTTTTTCACCAAGCAGTGTGCATTTTAGACATTAACCTCCGCAGACCAGCTCTCATCAGCAACCGCCACACATCCACTTTGTGTACCACAAACCACTTTACTCAGCTTGCCAGAATGACCTCCTTCTGTGTGTTTCTGCAGAAAAATTATTTATACAGGGTGGGAATGCTGGCCCTGCACCACACCTCCTTTCTTATCCGGGCTTGGGACTGGCAATTGCAGAGATTCATTATCTCATACACTCATATGTATCAGCCCACCAGCCTAATAAATAGTGTTCATACACCCACACTAAGTTTAAGAGTAGCATAAAATGTACCCTTTATTGAGATCATTTTCTGTGTTGTCCAGCCACACTCGGACATTAAAGGCATTTCCCTCTCGAACTTGGGTGAAAATATCATCCATTCTGTGTTCTTCTGATGTGTCAGTTAGGCCTCACCACTGTTCTTCAGTTAATGCCACTGTCCTCTATTATTCTGTTTCAAAATAAAATAAATGAACATCAGAGAGGGACAGTGGATCATATTCAGGCTAAGGACAGGACACAACAGACTTTGCCAACATATGTTCAAACTGTTCGGTGGAGAGAAATATGAAGATGTTTCCTGCAAACTGAACATGTTGAGCAGGTACTCAAATACTGTAAACTGTATGCTGCTATTAGAGAAGCAATCTGGCCTGTTCCAGCCTCATCAAGACAAAGATGCATGGTACACAGGGAGAACTGGACTGCATGGTTGCTTTCATCAAAACTACCAGCCTCCTGATATAAGTTTACTGGCAGAAAGATTGAAGAAGAGAAAGAAGACATAACTGGAGAAAAAAAACACATAGAACACAGTAGTGCCAAAATTAACTCTATAATAGTTTTAACGTAGGTTCATGAAGTCTGCGAGCAACATATCATGATAGATACAATTTTGCCAAGATAAATAATTGAAGTTGTTTGAAGACTCATGTAGTTAATAAGTCATAATACAAAGAATGTTGTCTGTATGAATTACAGCTCTAATTTAGGTTCCTGTTGTTGAGACAGTCGTAAAAAAACACAAGTGTTGCATTCATAAATTCTAGAAACCATATAGATTCATGTAGCTTAGCTAGTTATCACAAATATGTTACGAGCACAACACCAGTTTTAACATAGGTTTAAGGGGTTGAGACAGTTATGATGCAGCACTGCAGGATGAATTATAGTTTTAATGTAAGTTTTGGCTCTACTGGCAAATTTGGCCGGTAAGCTGGACTGCTTCGGCCGGCTTAGCGGGGCTTAGTGGGAGTTATGTCCCTTCGCGTCCCTTCGCCAAACTCAAAACAAGTCGCGGAAGAAGTCACGAATCAAATGACATACTTACCTATCATCATCCGGGTGCGTGTAGGGCTGCGTAGGGTTGCGTCTAGGGTTACCTATCATCCTACGGTTGCGCGTAGGGCTGCGTAGGGTGTCTTATCATCATCATACGGTTGCGTAGGGTGTCTATCATCATCATTATACGGTTGCGTGTATGGTTGCGTAGGGTTTGGGTTAGCGGTAGGGTTAGGGGTGTGGGTTAGGGGTAGGGTTAGGGTTAAGGTTAGGGGGAGGGTTAGGGTTAGGGGTAGGGTTAGATGATGTGAAAATATTCACGTAGGAGGTGGAAATACTGGCCGAAAATCTGATGCTTGTGGGAGTGGCGCCACTGGAAGTG